AGGTTGAGGCTTGGGCTTGGGGTGTGACGCTCGGGCGTGGCGTAGGGCGCGCGGCGCTGTGCTCACCGGCGGGCGAGAGGGCGCCGGTGCGGCGGCGCCCGCGTTGTGCAGATCGCGCCAGCGCCTGCGGGGCGGGGCCCGTCGCCACCGCCACCGACGCCGGCAGCTTGAGGCGGCCGCGCAGGTCCCGGCGCCGCGCGCTGCGCGACAGGTCCAGCTCCGACGCCGCCGACGACACGGCCGCCGCGCGGTTCACGTACGCCGGCGCCAGGGAGTCGCCCGACGCCGAGAAGTAGCGCTGCGCACGGGGCGTTCAAGTCACTGGAGCTCGCTCTAGACTCCTCTCCGACCACTGTCGTCGGCACAGAAAAGGGAAGGAGAAAACTGCACGTAATCCCTACAGAAAAGGTATGCATGCTTTTTTGTTCAGACAACGTCCGGTGTGACTACTGCACTGCAAACAAACTTCTAGGAATTGTTTCTCGGTTTCTAGGCGTCTAGTGCGTGTTGGTGCGTTTGTGCAGTTCTGAGAGCATTCGGCTATGTTGTACTATATTGTGAAATGTGTGTGGTGAAAAGTAAAACGAATGTCACATGTACTCTAATGACGTCCCGTTCCGTGCTCTGTCTTGATTTCAATTGTAACCCTAAGTGTGACGTTAAACCGGTTTTTCTTCAGCGCTTTTTGCGTATATTAATCACCATTACGTGCAAGAAACAAAATCACCGAGAAAAAATCTGTGACTCATTCAACCAATCGATACTCGAAACAAACATGATTACTCTTACTTTTTTATACAGGAAGAAGACGAAAAATACCGCGTAAAGCTGACTTAAGAGGTATAGTTTTTATTGCCCTTAAATAAATCTGCATGGTTTTTGCTAATTCTTTATTACTCCGTTTAATTACTAACTATATTGGTAATTGAAATCAATTAATTTGCATTAAGATGTGGGATACATTGCACTTGTCATTAATCTAATTCAGAGAAATATTTTTACTTTCGTATATCTATGTCTTGAAAATTCCATTCACTCCATTAGATTGATCTCTCTTTAAGTCGTACATCTTCTATTGAAATACATAGCGATCATTATATTTCGAACATACCTCTAACTCTTTGATTCTTTCCTTCTTCCTAGGGTGAAAGTTTCAGCCTAAGTAAGGCATTGTATTTCATTGTAATATCAAATTGTTTCACAATATAATTTGAAACCATTTCTGAATGCAATTCCGATCAGCAATCTATATGTCATCGTGGAAAAAGTCAGAATTACTAGCCCAGAAAGCTAGCGTAGATACAAAATGCTAAACAATGCTTAGAGGTCATTAACACGTTTTATTTCAGTTATCTATAGTTTTTTTCATACTACTTCTAACACTTGATGAAATGTGACGTGTGAGTGGAGGAAGTCTTCCCTGGAGGGAGCAAGGGTTCGTTCCCAGATCTAATATAACATACGAGTACTCTGCCGCGGGGTTTTCCCCATAGCATCAAAGATGCTCATTCAGGACTACCCTGATAGGAAGATACCTTGACTCACGGCTTACCCCCTAGTAGCAAGGACACGCACCCAGCCTTCACCTGTTCGAAGGTTAGCCTGATCCGAGGTTTACCCTCTCGCGTACTGGCAAGGGCTCACAACTAGGAGTAACCTATCAGGAAGATAGCCTGACACCTAGTAGCAAGGGCGCGCCCCCAGATATCCACCACTCTTCAATAGCCTGAGAGGGGGGGGTCTGCAGCGGGGCTCACCTGGTGGGAGGAGGGGCGGCCGCGACCCACGCCCAGCCGGCAGCTCACGATGTCGAGCAGGCTCTGACGGGAGACGCTCTTGTAGGTGGCGGCGGGGCCCGGCCGCAGCGCCACGCTCTCGCAGCTGCTCTTGGCGCCGAGCGGCGACGCCGAGGACGCGCCCATGAGGCGCTCG